TTTACAAGACACCTAGTTCTTCTACTCCATTTTATGGATTAACGATCAACAGTTTGATTTGTTTTCAAGTCCCTTATTATGTCCAAGTTTATTGAATTATAAGTAATTTTCAAGAAAAACATGGAAATAGTAGGAAAAAATTACTTACTCCAAAGTAACTGTAGAGCCAAAAGCTTATTTTCTAAAAAGTAAGCACTTCCAAGAGCGAAATTTCAATTATATTTACATAACCAGTTCTTCTATATTATTACTAACTCAAGGCAAATGTCCCAAAGTCATTAAGTGAAAGCAATGCAACACTGCATCAAGGAACAAGTGAAATGGAGAAAACTTTCCATTTTAGTGACAGAAGGCAGTCCTGCCAGAGCATGTAGAGTCCACAGCTATCAGGGCCAGAAGTGTGGGTGTAGAGCCATGCTTATCAGGTTCTAACAGACATTTAAGATGTAATTTAAAGTCATAAGTATCCTAAAGAAAAATAGTTTATTCTTTAGTGACTGCTATTTGGCTTTAGTAACATTGCCACTGAATGACCTCTGCTGCATTTGTTTTTTCCCCTGATATTATGCTACAGATCTACATTAAAAACATGCAACTTAAAATGAAATTCCTTGTGTGCTTCCAACTTCAGCAGTTACACCCTTTTCAGTTTTCACTATCATCTTTTCTCTTTACATGACAGTCCTTTTGTTCTAGTCTTTTTTGTTCACCCAACCCTTTTCTCCTCATGGTCCCCACCCCTTATGCCGAAGTTTTGCTGATGGTCCCATACTTGTAGAGTGGACTGCCACCAAATGTTTCCCTAGCACATCCAACATCCTCTGTACATCTACTATTCATGATTGTATTAAACATGAAAGGAGAAGAGATAAGCAGAAACACGAGTCACAAAATCAGAGCTGCACCTGGATCTAATTAGGTAGCAGTACATAAACTACTGCATGATACATAACAGAACATTGACACTACAGCTCAACCTGACTCTCCAGCATCAACAATTCACTTGCTTTAAGTAAACAGGTCTCTACCCTTAAAGATTTTCCCCACTATGATTTCTCAATTTGATTGCATCAATTTAATTAGCAAGTATGTATGGCTGCCCTTTTAGGCAGATACATCTGGGAATAGTCAAGTCATTTTACAGTAAAACGCCAGTTGTCCGGCACCACCTGGAACCCGGAAGTGCTCCAGGCAGCCGGACAATTGGAGCTGCTCTGCCCAAGGCTTCCCTGAGTCAGCCGCTGGTCAGTTTCAGCAGCAGCTGACTTGGGGACACCCGGGGCAAAGCAGCTGGGGTGCTGCAGGGTTGGTCCTGCAGCGCCGCCCCCCCATTCCCCCCAGACCCATCATAGCCCCCCCTCCCAATAGTCTGGCATATTTGATAATCCAGCATCCCCTGGGTCCTAAAGGTGCCGGATTATCGGAAGTTTACTGTATTAGAAAATGATTCTTCCATGTTTATTCAAAAAGAAACCTGGGGGGCTGCAACAGCTCTGCCATGTAGGAGAGCTGTAGGGGTCCCTAAACTACTTCAATCCAAGCCAGCTGCCATCTGGAATCAACTCCCTCCAGTCGCTCCAGCCTCACAAAACACACAGTACAAAGACTGAATATGGAAGACACTGCAAGACCTTAAGGCACTCTCTTAAAGCAGCATCATTACAACAATTTCACCCTTCTGGGAGCCTTGCCTTTAGAGCAAAGAGGAATGGTCTTACCTGCTGCTGCTACCACAATATCAGCCAGAATTGTGTGCTGCTTGAGCTGTTCCTTAGGAGTGTAGCGGTGTGATATTGTTACTGTTGCGTCACCTGCAAGATTAGTCACAGTGAGCATTTATTCAGGTTTTGATAGGAAAAATGCTGGCTTTTCACTCACTCTGATGACTTTACAATCTGTGAAAATCATGAGTTCAGTGTGTAGGGTCACACCTTGCTAAGTGAGATGAGATCATCTTACTGATAGAGAGGAGGAATCAGCAGTAAGCATGTGCCACGTATTTCCTCAAGGACAATACAGTTAATGGGTTTACCCTTACAAGTGCCATGGGCGCTTTATCTGCAAGTGGGCAGGACCTGCAGCACATAGGACCACTCTTTCTACAATGAGCAGCAGAGATCCAGTAATCATGGAAACAGAACCACCTACTGATCATTATTACATTTTACAGCATTTGGGTTTCTCTGAGTCTCTCATCTTAGTGACTCACTGTGACTAGCCTGCAAACTCTGATAAAAACACAGAACAATCTGGAAGAGTTGTTACCTCCTGGGCGCTCGTGTCTGCCATCGGTATGCAGTAACATTGCAATGGGCATTCCAACATTCTTTGATCTACCAGCCACTACCACATTCTTCCCCAAGGTTGGGATTCCTATGGGATTGGAAAAAATTAAAACTCACTTTTAAATATACACTGCAATAAAAATGAACAGCACTTGGATGTTGCTCTTTTTACCCGTACCAGTTCTCTTGATGATTTCCCATACACCCCAAGGCGTAGCTGGCAGCATTGAGTATTGATCCAGACACATACGTCCCACATTCACCACGTGAAAGCCATCAACATCTTTCTCTGGGGTCACAGCATTGCAGATCTTTCGCTCATCAATATGCTCTGAAAAAAGGTGAAGAAATTGTCAGCTGAAGAAATTGTAATTGGTTGAAAATGATCACTTCAGCCTCTACAGACTTACACAGCACATTCTTCCACGCATCCCTGGGTAGTGAAAAACGATAAGCCTGCTCTAAAGCAGCATAGCAAACTTTCGGTTACCCCAAGGTAACCCACCTCCCAGATATTCACATGTAAATATTTCTATTGCAATCTCAAGAGGTTATATTACCTCTGTGAATTTGACAGCCTTTCCAAAGTTTCTTGAATAAAAACAGGGAAGTAACTATTAAAGACTTTACATTTAAACCCTATGCATTCAATATGTGTTGCAATGAAGGAAAAAGAATTTTCATGTGAAAGCTTGGGTCCACCCCCAAAGACCAGAAAATATCCCTTTAAATTTGGAAATGGTATTTTTAGACTGCCTAGATTGCACTTGTGTACATGACAGTCCCATATCCCACACCCATGTCAACTTTATGCACACATTCAATGGCTACTACAAACTACAAAGTCAACACATCAACTTCTCTTCATTAAACAGCAGCATGGCAGAATGCCAATTCCTTCATGCACTTCACACACAAAAGCAACCAAAAAAGCAATGTCACAACAGGTTAAGGCAGAGTCATACTGTAACTTAATCCTTCAATATGCAAGACATCAAAAGTTGCCTAGGTAAAAATGCAAACACATTAAGGTCTCCTCAAAAATCCCACCAACTCACCAGGTAAGGGTAGCTGCACTAGTAGGCCATCCACACTGGTATCATTATTTAGCCTGCTAATTAAATCAAGTAGTTCCTCTTCCGTGATGGAGGCTGGCTTCAGGATTGTTTCACTGCTGATTCCTATAGCATCATGAAAAACACTGTTATTGGAGAGGGTCAAGTGTAGATTAGGTCTGGAAACCAATTCTCATTCATGCGGATTTGTATACCACAGAAATAATCTCTATTGACAAGCGTAAAAATCTCAAATATTCCGTTACATACTGTAAACTCAAATATCTTACATTCAAATAGCAAGATGCAAGCCACAATATTCCTTCTTGGCCTATCACTTGGATAACGATGGAATATCACATTCAGGGCTGTACCCCATTGTTAGATGAAGGCAGACACTGATTGATATGGGAGGTGCACTATAGCCACTACTAAGCTAAATTGATAAGAGTCTACATAGGCAGCAATCTGAGAATTGTGTAGCCTCATCCAGTATATGAGAAGCCCAACTTAAATTAAGGTTGGAGGTAGATACTCATTGTTAAGTGTCCAAACAATCAGAGACAGGTGCAAGAACATACCTACATCAGCAGCTGCTTTGGTTTTATTAAGCACATAGGAGTGACTCGCAGGATTTTCTCCAACTAGAATCACACTGAGATGGGGTCTCTTGTTACCAGCTGCCACCCATTGCTCAACCTCATGTCGGGCTTCCTGTCTGATCTGCCGAGCCAGTTTTCTTCCAGAAATTACAACTGCATCACTTCTGGGGGGGGGGAAGGAGTGGGGGAAGAGGAGGAAATGAGGAAACATTATCAAAGCAGGGAAGCTTTTTTAAAAACATTCACTCATACTGAGTTTTCTACCCAAGCTTCACCTCAATGTTTTACAGTCAAGAAATCCAGCTAATGTATATTATACCAGTTGCTACTGCATTGAATAAACCTATGCACAAATTATATTCCATACTTAACATTCGTATAAAACTTACTACAACAGGCGACTATATCAATTCTGTCTAGCTAGGTATCCTGCTGCTAGCAACAAAATAAAATAGATAAATCATGCATACTAAAGCCAATAAATTTTATTCCATTTTGCAATTTTCCTCTGAGAAGCAATGAAATTTGAAGACAATCTATAGGCCAATTTGCTTTACATTTGCCGCCAGTTCATGTAATTTGAAAAGGTTCATGTATTGGTCTCCTGGAAAGCCTGCTGGCAGGGCTGGCCTTACCATGAGGTGAACTGAGGCAGCTGCCTCAGGTACTAGACTGTGGGGTGGTGCCACTAGGACCCAGAGAATTGAAACCGTTCAACGTTTTGGCCCAAGCGAGAAGGCATGGGGGCATCACTGAGCTCCCTGCCGCAGGTGCCAAAATGTTGAGCCGAACCTGCCTGCTTGTACATTGGAAAAAAATCACATTTTACATTCTAAATTAGCAATCAAGCAAATAAAATTCATATAGCTAAATAATCCCCTTCCCCTCCCCCTCCCCAAATACAAAGGACAATTTCACTTTAGCAATTTTCACTATAACCAAAATTCGTTGGAACAAATGAGACTTTAAATTTGCTTCATTATAAATGGAATTACACTACAGACAAGTTCTGCTGAATCATTTTTAACCTCTTCAGTTTAACACTTGGATCTTTTAAAGTGGATAATTTGTACACATTAAAGTCTTTATTAATTCCTTATAAAAACAGCATATTTGGAATAATGTACATAACTGTGAAAGGTAATCTTGTTTCCCTTTATTCAGATTTAGCATTTTTATTAACCTCTTTCCACTGAAGTTTGTTGTTCTTAGTATGTTGTCAACAAATATTCTTAAGCTTGTTTTAATTCTCTAACTATGCAAGTAAGTTAAAAACTAATATCAGTGTCGAGTACAGCTCTACTGACATTTGATCGATATATGAAATTTTGCTGAAGCAGAGAGAATAAAATACAAGTGTTATCTTTGACATTTGAGTCATATTAAAAAACTCCCTACATACATTCCTGGTCTATATTGGTATCAGGAATACACAGCTACTGCCAATGCATTCCAGGACACTGGATAACCAAA